TGAGCTCTAATAAGAGCAAAACTCCAGTCTGGTGCTTCCGTGTGCATGGTTGGCTGGATAAACTAAGGATTGTGCATGAAGATGAAGTTTGAAAGATATTCAGTTCAAATCAATCCATTCGGTTGGAGTTGATTCGGATAATTCAACGTCTTATTACTTCGGTTGAAACGTTAGTGACTCAGAGCTATATGTAAAAGTGATTTGGCTTTAGTGGATTCGGTAGCCAAAGCGCTTTTTCTTGTCGTCTTCGAAAACAAGTCTAGCAGTTCCCAAAACTTAGAAAATTTGAACGGTTGAACGTTGCAAACAAGGAAAAGAAACGCGCTATAAGGATGTGAAATGTCTCGGTACCCGGTCGTATTAGTGTCTGGGTAGAAAGAAGTGACTAACCGTTTAACCATAGATACTTGGTCTTTCCTTGTTCTATCGAAAGATCCAAGCATTTGAAAGTTTTATTTAGAGCTTCACTTAAGCCACCAAGACTAGAGTTGCCGTGATATGCTGCCCACTAATCAGAATATTTGAATTTGTTTCAGTGAGTCTCGATCGGTCTTGTAGATACGTTATGGTATATAATTCAGGGATTACTGTAACTGACGTGTGATTCAGCTTTGGAGACTCTAGTCCCGTTGATGAGCTGCCTTTTCGTTCATTCAGGCTGTGATGACCGGCGTGCATACACACACACACCCACATACTGTAGCCTTGGTCGAATTACATAGGCTCACAGCAATCCCCGATTTATCAGGGACACGAAATCTATCTCACTTGAAAGATAGATAACTTGTTTGCTCATGGAAAGAGCTGTCAGTCACAAACATTTCATTTCTGAGCAATGTAAAACAGATTTATCCCTTTTATGCATGAAGAAATGGTAGGAAGCCACTCTCATAGGTGTTTGCATATTTAGTAAAATGTATGGCATCACTATGGTGCTCCCACTGTGTAACGTTCAGATCAAACTGACCAAGTTAAGGAAGATCTCTAGTTGTGAAATATCGCTTACCAGTCTGAATGATTTGCCGTGCTCGGAGCTCATGTAGAGCTTTTCGCATATGAACATCGCCATAGTCCACCAGGTACGGCAATTCGGATTTTAAGTCTTCCATTTCCTTCTTCCGAGTAGTCTTGATATCACCCTTGACGCGGGGGGGGGGGGGGGGGGGGGGAAGANACGAGAAAAAGACAAAAGGTGTCTCTCGGAAGCTATCAGAGAATCCAGGACGGAAAATTCAATTGGTGATCCAACCCTGTGGTTTTGTACTTGAATGGGAATGATTGATGTAAATGGAATATGGTGATTGAATTCAAGCGGATTACAGACTACTGCTTAGTCTCTCTCCGCGGAAATCTCTTAAATTAAATCAGCGATTATCATAGATCCCACTCCGTCTGTTTGGTGTGTCTACCAAGTTTGCCAATCGTTGTATGGAAACACTGTGTGGGAATCGCGTTTTATAACCCGTTGAATCCATATGTTCCTTGCTATGCGGAGGAATTGTTTGTCCTTTGAGAGAAGAGAAAACATGTAGGGGTTAAATGGAGTTACACAGAACAAATCATCTCACCTGGAGTAGTATGCCCAGGCTGTTTTATAAAATATTCTGCATCAGCGATTAAACAATTTATTTGTACGTTTGCATCTACACCCTCTATCATACTGGTTTCAATGCACTGCTCCAGGATGTCTTGTTTATCATGGCATATCGCAAAACACACTACTCATGTTTAATATGAGCAATATCTTTGTAGAACAGCCAGAAGTGATGGGTTGGATTTTCTCAAAAGTACAGATAGAAATTTTCCGACAAATTATGTCGTTAACTGCAATAAACTAAGTATTTGAATAGCATGCTGTTTGTCAAAATTTAAATAGCTGTGCCCTGAGGATAACATCGACTACGTTTGGCTTTCTGCATGGTCTATCAGTTCAGTCCAGATGGGACTATAGTAGTGTAAGCATTGTTGTTCAGTCCCTATGGGGATAGTTATCAGTCACTTTTGATCATCCATCACCACCACTGCCACCAATTAGAGAAAAATTTGAAGATATTCGGTGTTTACCCCAGAAGGTAAAACGTGAGCAAAAAGATCAACGCGCAAACTCTGATGACAGTCTGTTCGCATGGGCCTCGACCAAGAATTTGCTGAGTTCACACCAAAGCATTTATCTGATCCCCACAGTGATCCTGTGGACAGAAAAACTCATTTTAATGACAGCAGCTGTCTCAGTAGCATCTACGAATGTGCAGACTGGGTTCAAAGATAGCACTTTTGCGATGGCAATAATGTGCAAGAGGGAGCATAGTAAAACGCCAGATAAACGAGGGAAAAACGGTTGGAACAGACGATAAACTAGTTTATATAAGACTGCCGTTTACAGGTGACAAGATGACGGATATAATTATTCCAACATTGACACCTGCGATCCATCAAACATTCCATGCACCGAAATTACGTGTCACATTCGTATCCAGACCGACCATCAGGCTTCAGCTCAAAGATAAAGTTCCTGTTCCTGTGATCTCATTTTGCGTTTGATCTTCCACATGTTCCTGTGAAACAGCATACATTAGTCGCACTAGCAGACGCTTGACTCAGAGAGTTTGTTGGCGTTATGCGGCTTAGTTACACACTCGGCTGACAAAGTCAAAAATGAGCGCAAGCTGCTTACACCTTCTCCAGCTAGGTTATTTATTTGACTTAAACAGGGATTTTTGCCGTCTGTACCAAGTTTGTGAATTTCATTCAAGGTGGACCAAAGGTCGCATCCTGGCCACAGATATTATTTTCATTGTTTCAAGGTAAATAATTTATTATTATTGTCTATTTGTAAGTAATATCTCCGCCCTCCCGTTTTTACCCCAGTTATATAAATTGTGATGTAGTAACCAAAGATGGCTTCATCGCGTTCTATTCCAAATGCTTGTTGGTAGTCACCGAATGGGACGAATAATGTGCAAGCGATTTGCACTGATTAAGGTATTTTTCAAGAGCTATGTTTTCCTGGCCCACATCTTGAGGCTATCAAATTATGAGGATACCAATTGGCAAACAAGCTCGTTTTTAGTGTGTCTTAATCATGCCATAACAAAAATTTATCTGACTATTGTAGCAGAGAAGGATTCACAAGGAAAACAGGGAAAGTAATTAAAGTATTCAACAATTTGTGTCATAATTGGTCACAAATTATAATTTTCTCCGATGTTTCATGACAGATCACTTGTCGGCAATCCGGTCATGGGAGCCTGAGTACTTTCACAAATAGTTTCTGAACTCACAGAGGGTGGTTTTGAAGACGGATGCTGACTGTTTCCGCTGTGGCTAGGATGTAAAATCGCACGTGTCTGGACCGTCCCGTTTATGCAGGGATCGGAACACTTCGGTCGCGTCTACAATGTGATTAGTGTCGACCAGGTGCGACACGACCGCACTTGTGATTGGCTTAATTGCTCCACTTCTCAACCACGCAGGGTGATGCTCACAGATGCGCTCGGACAGACGCCTGGTAGCGCGGCCAAGATACCTTGATCCACAAGAGCAAGTTCAAGAGTAAATACAGAAAGAGGCAGCAGAATCGGACACTATCCTTCAACCGTAAACACACCAACGGGTTAGATCTCTGAATCGAGCTAAGAACTTAACCACGTAGAACGTTTTGTTGATGGCATTTGATATCTTTTTATGCACAATCTCTACCAAGGTGTCGCCTTCAAATGGGATGAGAAATGTACAAGGACCTTTTTCCCCAATTAACCTCCTGGGAAACGCAACTTGTCATTGCAGCACTTAGTCCAACAAGCGCTCTTGGTATCCATTCTGGATGAATATTTCCCGCACATTTTGAGGTTCTTAAACCGGCATGTCTTTCATGCAAATTCTTCTGGCTCTATTGGTCAAACAGAGTATGAGATCGCTCTTCATGCTGAGTGACACAGCTACGAAAATGAATGAACTGCCCATTCCACAAAATATCATCAGTGTCACGTTTGTACAGTAGGCATTGTTCGATATATGCTTTAAGCGGACCGTTCAACTATTTTAGACATGAGAACTGCAGTGATTTAATCCCGAATTAGAGCCAATCCTAACCTGCAAATCTGATTGATTGGAGGTAGATATTTCCGTGTATACAAACAAAAAACACGCGCAGTTAATTGTGTACAATCTTTTCGATCAAATACTTACCTTGAATTTTAGGAGGCTTTCTAAATGCGAATGATACGTTGGAATGAGCAGGGCTGCCCAATCGCCAATAGTATCTGTCCAAGCACCAAATAACATCGTTTGGAATCTGAAAACAAATATTCAATTTTCATTTAAACCTGGTAATTAACGATAGGAGGAACTGGGGAAAAATGAAGTCAAACCTTAATTTGAACAGCTATATCTTAAGCCTCTGATATCTGCATCTCTGCGTGATCCTATTGAGACCTTGCGTGTTCAGCGTACCGAGTATCGGGCAATGTGTTAAAATGGTAAATCCGTGATGATTACTTAAATTGACTCAGATCACGGTTAGTTGCTGATTCAAAAGGTACCTACGATCGGTCCACAGTTTCAATATGGTGCAGTACTAGTTTGGCCACTACAAGTGCACGTGAGATAACGCAACACACATACAGACCGTTGCATATGATTTTATTCATAAATATTATTTCGTGAACTTATCCCCTCTGAAGATTTCCAATTATTTCACATTCAATTCACAACGACTAGTGATTTGCGGTGAGGGATAAATGTTATTGATTTGGATTGACTCTACCTCGGATTTCACCTTCACGCACGAGCCTCAATTTAACCAGTCAACAATAAACTCGGAAGCACTATTGGCTCGAGTTTCGCTCTTATTAGAACTCATCAGTGGTGCATATCCACCGTCCCTCTGTCCGGTCTCTGAACTCCGGACCCATTGCATAGATGGGGTGTGCGTTACCACTGTGTCAACCAGCTCATACCAAGGCTGAACCGAAGAGCCAGTGCATGTTTGTTTCGCCCTCCGTGACAATTAGTCAGTTTATTGGGACCCGAGAGCAACGAAGGAAGTCCCAGTTGACTATTCGTCAACTCCAATCGAGATCCTCCGAACTAATCAGGATTTCCATGCTGCTTACTGACTTACTACAAACCTACTAGTGGCGATTTAAAATTCACATTCGACTTACAGCTACTTGTGAGTAGTAACAATGAATAACGGAACATTTGAAGTGCCCATGCTTCCGGTTTCCCCGTTACGCAATCCTCACCTTATCCAGTCTAGTATAAACTTGGTAGAGTGTTTGAACGGGGGATTATACGTGAAGGATGCTCAGTTCAAATGAACGTCCTACTAAGTTCTTGTTATTTGGGTTTAATGAATGAATTTACTAAAAAACTATATACCAACTGCACCGTTATTCAGAGAAACTACAATGAGCTAACGCAAAAACTGCTTCCACTGTTACCGAAACAAAATCTGTGGGTCACAGTTATCCAAAAGCGTTTACGAAATAAATAAATTGAAGAGGGGAAAACATTGACTTAATGCTTTGTAAGAGAAGGAAAATATGGAATATTCTCATCTTGTCATGGAAAGATGAAGCTCGTTTTCGACAACTTCTTCGGGTTGATACAGTTATATAGGTAAATAAAAATAATAGTGTGCATCAATGTCTACATGTGATTCGTAGTTTGTGATGATTTTTGATGTTGGGAGAGAGTGAGTAGAAAGAATGTTTTCATAACATGTTTGGTTGGGAAAACCTAGTAACACGGCGATTAGAAAATCAACCTCCCTAACTTTCCTGCCGCCTCACTACGCACCCATTTTGTGAGCTGACCGATGATGTCCGAGAACCTTAAAGATAAACTGCCTGTCCATGCCGCATCCATGATAACCTATTCTTTTCTTTGTTCATGTTCGGCAGGATATGTAGACAGAATGACCAGGCATTTGTCCCAAAGAATCAAGGAACACAAGCGGGCTTGGCTGGGTACAGGCACAAGGAAGATGAGTTCAAGTGCAATCGAAACCCATCTTGCGGATACCGGGCATCAAGGTGACGATGACGTATTTCAAATAATCTACAGGGTACCATCAAACCCTTCGAAAGCAGCCCGTCAATGTCATCTCGCAACAGCCGAAGCCGTGGCCATTCGATTACTAAACCGATCGCTTTGTTCTCAAAAGCCATTCGGATAATCATTCAGACTGCCTAGGCCACAACGTGACACACCTCCGAGATAGACATGACCTTTCTCATGACCCCGCAATCCTAACACACGATGACACGTCCAAATCCTAATCGTTTTCCCAACGATTTTATAAACACAGTCTCCTAATTACCTTTTATCAATCACACGTCTAAAGTAATCACAAACGACGAATCACACGTAGATATTGAGGCACATTTTATTTCAATTTGACTATGTTAGCCCGAAAAGACGGAGAATAATACACACTCATTATTTTGTAAAATGAGACATTCTGTTTTGACTCTGTACACGATCTGATTTGTTATCACGGTTTATTTATTCTCCTGTGCTTTCCGTTCGGCACAAGTCTTTTGAGATTTACTAAACGGTTCAATTGTCCAGATGCCCTGGATAAAAATATGTAATTAATATAGTAATCTTATCTCTAAGTATGTTTTCTTAACATTCGTTTCTTATAAAGTGTAAAGCATGTAGTTGTACAATCAGTTTCAATTCAGGTTTCCCTGGAGAAATCGAGAATGAGTGAATGTTGGGCAGCCGTTCCGCTGGACTGGAATGCACAACCTCAGAACTACTCTTTTAATATTCTCTTTGAGTAAAAAAGCAGCAATAGATAAGTTTGGTGTATTAGTGGAGGATAAAGTAACAGTTCCACACCCACAGATTATACGTTATTACATATCTACTCTCTGTTGTTTTCTCATCTGTAGATGCGTTTCGCTGAGACCACTGTTATGCTGAATCATCTTCCTGATAAGCGATAAATTGAATACTCAATGGATAATTCTGATGAACGCTTTGTTTTGGCTCTCCACAGAAAGGTAGAAAGTACTGGAAGACCATGAAGCTCGTCTGGCTCACCTCGCAGCAGCAGCCTTGTTATTTGAGAATAAGTTCACTCGTGGTTTTTGTTTTCGTCTCGATCGCCTTTCGTCGGATTGATTGCTGGTACTGTCCCCCTCGTCACCGGCGTCTTCCGTCTCAAGATGCTTCATTTGTTGCTGACCCACTACTCCATCCTCGGCTTGCCCTGTGTAAACCGTGATGCGGCTGGCATGTTCTCGTGTACTAGACGGGGGGCTTGACTCCGGTGAGGTAAGCCACAGGCACGCCGCGGGCAATGTGGTCGCTTGTGTGCCGTCTGGAGTTTCTGCGGCCCATTCGTGAAGCAGATCCGATGCAATGGTACTGGTTTTCCACACGCGAACTGGGTCACCTCGGTGAAGCCATGAATCGGACGAGAGACGAATAGAGGCGAGAAGGTTAGCCGAATGTCGCCCTTCAGGAAGAGGTGTGCGATAATGAAGCGGGGCGACCACCCGCGATTGCAAAGAAAGTTGACGAGCGGTTGCAGACAGTTCCATGAAACCACTCTGTTTTGCGAGTCACAAGAAGACAAAAAGAGTTCATCGAAGATCTCGCATTAAACACAACGATACAAATGATGATGATGAGAATTATGACGATATATAAGAGAGTCCACAATTTGGTGATATAGAACATATTATATACAATAAAGTCTCAAAGCTGATTTTATCAGCAATAAAAAACAATTTGCCATATGATATCAGTATGCCTTAAGCTTACCTTATAGAAAGCTGCAAAAGTTGCTCCTATCATTACAACTGTGCTGATTTCGCACATTAAAACAAATTCGAGTTACTCTTTTCATTTACACCTCGATTGTTCCCCGCACTCTGTATCAAGATGAAAATTTATGTTTTCGGTGGATAAGCACATGCTACTTAAAAATAAAGTGTTCCCAACTTGTTTTGAGGCATTCTGGCCACAAATCGCGTAATCTATTATTTTTATTACATGTAATATGATTCATAGCAGAAGCGGGATCCCAATAGCAAATTATACTGTAAAAGGGCGTGTAGGGGAACATTCACGTAAGATACAGCATATTGATTCGGTTTTTAAACAGTAAAAGGTTATAAGGAAAAGGTAGGACGGAGAATTTGTGTATGCTTGTGTGTAGGGGGGGGGTGACGCTCCACAACTTGGCAGTTCGAGAAAAAACAAGATGGAGTAGGTGTAACAAGGCATCCATTAACTGAAATCTGATAATGTCGATTAAAATACCTGCAGATGGGATTGGTTGGCAAAAGTTACAGGGAGAGGTATCGCAGAGGCAAGCTCTAAACAACAAAAAACAATATAGAATCGGTATAAAATGGGCAGTGAGCAACTTCCCGAAAAGAGACTAGTGAATGCAGATTAGAGTTTAGAGAATGATTATCGTCCAGCCGGATTGCCGATTGTTGAACACGATTAAGAGCGAAAAGAGAAAACAAAGTCCAACCCTAAGCGTAACTCTGCTGTTTGAGAACAGGGCGGATTTGAGCTTCAATACTCTAGAATATGAGTTGGGTTGAAGAAGCTTTGGGCACAGAATGAACAACCAACATTGCGCGTAGAACATTGACCAAGCTGAGATAAAAAATGGGATCGGCCTAAGGACTACGTTGTGGGCAATCCAAGAGGATAAATAGAATCTGTGGAAGGCAATTGGGCGAAATTAATAGATAAATGGGGGGGGGATAATGACTGGTGATTTATAAAAATTGATGGAAGAGAGGTTTTACAATCACTGGATGAAGTGTTGTTCATATTGCCTCAGCATGATATGTGTTTAAGATCGGAGCTAAGTGACTCTTTAACTGCATTGCGGTCAAAACCAAGGTTCGTTTGAGCATGGCGAGCAGTGCAGTGTAAGAGGAAGCAGTGAGGAGTGACACCGCTAGTAGACGAATGCATTGCAATAACAGTTTTGTTAAGGAGATAAATAGAAGACTATGGCTGGGTGCCAGTACCGTATCTTGGGGAACGCTAAGATTCACAGGGATTGGTTGCGAATGAGCACTAACTACTTGGGCGGAGATCGTACGCGTTCTGAGGAA